CTAATTGTAAAAGTTTGAAATGTTTAGTAATTCTAATTTTAATTGTTATCATGTTTGCCACCGAGCATAAGCTCAAAGCGAACTTTAATAAATCTATCTATCTAATTCTCTTATAAATAAGCAGTTTGGCTTTCGCGCGGGTCATAGCACAACGCGTCAGCTTGTGCGAATCACGGACCGCTTAAGACGCAACTTAAACGAGGGCCGATTTACATGTGGAGTGTTCGCCGACGTTGCCATCGCCTTCAACAAGGTTTGGCACGTCGCACAGTGGATTACATCTCGAAAAAGCTGGCCAATATAAGAAAGTGTAGTTCGATTTGTCTGAAATTTTGTAACAAATACGTTTGGAGGCCTCTGGTTAAGAATTTCATAAAAAATATTGAGAAAACAAAATGGCAGATCAATATGGCTGACACAAATGCTCAAAAAAGGTTTTAATCAATCAGAAATTGTTTTTTAGGGTTCTTTCAGGTCACATATTAAGAACTTGATAAAAGAAGTTTCAAAAGTTAAAAAACAAAATGGCGGGTACAATCTGGGGGACAAAAATGCTAAAAATGGTTTTGATCGTACAAAAATTGGAGTGTAGAGTTTTTGAAGACACAAATTCAGAATTTGATAAAAAATTTAGAAAATAAAATTGCGAAACTTAAAAAACTATAAAAGATTTTTCTTGTGTGATAGGATGGTTGTAAATGGATTACATAATCCATTGATGTATCAATACGTTTTATTATATCTAAACTGAAATGATAGTATTGATCAAGAGAAGCATCGTCCGAATCTTCCGAACTGAATGGAATTGCACTTGATTGGTCAATTGAACAGGTATTTGCTTCTGGTGGCAAAAGAAGTTGAACTGCCTCACGTGACAAGGATTTGCTAACTTTGGGAGGAGTCTTTCGCATGCTGGTGATCAGGGGATCCTAAGACATCAGCAGTCGATGAAAAAAAATCTTCCATCGTTTTTTCCCAACTGCATTTGCGGGGAAAATTTTGGCGATTCTGTCGAATATCTTTGTTGCGTGATTCCTGTGCACCTTCTGACAACATGCCTTTTGTTAGTAAGGCAGTTTCAATAATTTCAGGTCCGTGGAACAGCGCTTTATGAATGGTCGTTGGCATGCAATACCTGAAATACTTATGGACGAATATTCTATCAATATTCGATCAATGCAATATTCTCAAAACTCCAGAATTTTTACACGAAAACAGCGTTCAAAACCTGCAAAATGACGTGAAATTGATTGATAATGTACTCCTCTATACCCAATATTTCTGCGGATACTGCAGAATGTTCAAAAAAACGTCGAGCTGTGTTGCCGTCGTTGGTGTTGCCGTAACAATGTTTTGGAAAATCAATAAGAAGGCCCAACCGTTCTTTAAATCCATTTTGAATGATTTTATTTCGACACGCAACTTTTTTTTTTGTCTTCATCTGTACGAGCTTGCCATTTCTGTATACCTGCACAATGCGGTACTGTCCGCAAGGAGAAGTATAAGAAGGTGTGTATACACGGCATAAACACGTATATACACATTATATTTCACAAATACAAGATAATCAAAAAAATATAAAGGCGATTTTTTTAACGATTATTACACCTCACCAATACAAATGTTCCTACACTAAGGAATGCAAGCGCAAGCAGCTAATTCTTATTTATCTTGTTAAAGCGTACTATAATGTATACTTTCATTGAAATAGGAACATAGGCGAACGCAAGCGAAAAAATATTTCCATAAATGTTTGAAATGCGACTCTATTTTTAACGCAACCTCTTATAGTAAATTACACGAGAAATATAGTGCATAATAAATGTAATAACCATATATTTACCTTCAGGAAGATCCATTATAACACACAAAAACAACCCAGCACAGAAAGATTGGTATAAAACGTTGTAAACCGACGCCAAACTCTGAAGTTTTATCGCGGGTTACGAGCCGATCTATGGTAAATAAAATAATTTCCTTCTACTAGGACATGCAGCAGGGCCCCCTGGACACGACTGCGTTGTACTAAACTTAAAATATTAACTTTTATTTTTAGAATTTTGACCAGCTTTTTCGAAATCTTATTCACCGTGCGTCGGTCTCATTTACAAACTTCAATCCATGAACTTTCCTTTGTACCTTATGCACCTTATCCACTCTTGCCTAGCAAACAGATCGTTTCAAGTGACGCTTCTGAAACCCGCCGCGCCATACGAGCCGGAGTGCTGCAAGAGAACGTGATTGCCCCTATGCTCTTCAGCCTCTATGTTCGTGATATTCCCACGCACCCTCAAACGGAACTCGCATTGTACGCCGACGATACGGCTATAATAGCCACGCCGAAAAAGATCGAGCTTCTCCAGAAGTACTTGGATCAGCATCACATACAGATTTAGGAGTGGCTGAAGCTGTGGCGAGTCAAAGTCAATGTGAGTGCAGCTTTACTCTGCACTCAGAGACGGTGATTCACGCAGCCGAAGCCGCTCGCGCTATGCGGATACGCGATTAATTGGGCAAAACGTAAAATATTTAGGTGCCACTTTAGACAACCCACTTACTTTTAATCTGTACATTGAAAATGTGCGGAAGATTGAGCGGCGGATCAGAGGCAGATTGCGAAGCCTGTTTCACAAGCAGAGCAAACTGTCAACGGCAAACTGTCTCGCGCTTTATAAAGCAATTATTAGGCCGCAACTGGCCTACGCATGCCCTAGTTGGGAAATTGCAGCAAATACACATTTGAAAAAACTGCAAAAAGTTGAAAACGAATACCTTAGGGCAGCTCTCTGCGCCCCTAGGTAGAATATTTCGTGCACATTTTCTTGAGTCCTCCCTTCGCTAAATGCGAGATGACTGGGGAGTTTGGTTATTTTGACAAAATGAATTTTACGTTGAATTTGTAGTACATTTTTCCATGCAAAATACTTTTTCACACACGGAAGCGAACATTCCTTGTCACCAGATTTTGTCTACATTACTATTATTTATTCTTAATACAACGAATGGTGGGAAATGAGTGGGGGTAGATACTAAACGTGCGGATATAATACACTCCTATTAAGGATTTACATCACGATTTATCAATGCCACAGCTGATTGATTATACCAAAAATATTGTGTTTAATTTTTCTGAAAAAGCAGCTGACTCGAAAAGGCAACACATCATTTCTGAGATCATTTCATACCAACCCGATCGACGGGTGAGGTATAGGGGTCCAAAGCACTTCCTGGAGTAAAGAGTAATCTGAAACACAGAAATGAGACTTGAAACATAAATTAGCATTTCTGCACACGCAATGCGCGCGCCAGTTGGCTCAAGTTATTTTTGACCTGTTTTTCTTTATGTTGCGGAATTTGCCATACCGGTAAAGGTAGGAATGTTCGCGTCGCAGTGGCGTGAACGTGCATTGCACTTTCCGCGCGTTCACTAAACTGCATAGTCTGTAATAGGCAGAGAATATGGTCTTGGAATTATCTAAACTCTTTGGTATCGTCGTTTCTATGCTTTCTCTGTGATTCAGCGTGAGGTATTGGCATCTCTCTGGTAAGTTCCATTTATCTCTGGGTGTGAGCGCGTGGAATGCTGTGTAACTTGGTTCAGCGCTGATCAGTTTTTTCGCAAGGAATTGATTATCTCGACCAAGGGAAAAGTGTATCAACATGGTAATGTATAGTTTTAGAATTTTTAATGAATAATATTTGTTAAATTTTTATCAAGTGAATTGGAACATGCTCTAAATCACAATTGTTCCCTACAACCACGTGTGATTCCGGCAGCAATGGAGGCAATTTGTGTATCATTCGAATTCTGCTAGTTTCTTTTGGTAGTGATGTGGTGTTTGCTTTGTTTTGCAAGACCTTAATACTCAAAACTTCGAGATTTTGTAAATTATTGTGGTTACACGGGTGAGGCAAGTAATCCTTTGTATGATAAGTGTTTGTAATGCATACGGTGTTTCTTTCCGACAGTCTTTCAACAAGGATCCTGAGAAACCTGCGACTGAGCAGCCAACTATTCATCGAATTCGAATTACGTTGACTTCACGTAATGTTCGTAGCTTGGAGAAGGGTAAGAAAACCTTTTTAATGATCACGGTAACGGATTTCTGGAAAAAAAGAAAAAAATTAGAAAACCCAGGAAAGTTGAAATGCAAAAAAATAATAGATGAAAGTGGCTGGTTGTGTCAATAAGTGAATTACATTAGAACCTGGCATGATCCTTTAAAATGCCATTTATAATGATTAAAATGTAGATCTCTGTGAAAGCAGAAAGCAGCAATAATTACCACCTGTAAGGTGATAATGAAAACGTGAAGTTAGCATTATTCATCTTATATTTTATGATTGTATTCTCATCTGATTGGTTTCTGTTTTAAATTCTCAAGTTGGCTGAAATTTCATTAGATTTGATTTCCTTGTTATTAATGGTTTCTAAAAGAGGTCTGTTTCAACATTATTTAACATATACATAGATTACCACATGTATTTTTATCCCAACATTTAACAACCAAACACTAAGTAGATAGGCAAATTATGGTTTATCTATAAGAATTGAGGAACTTGCTTTCTATAGCAAATTGTTCAAATATAATACCATTGTGTTGTAGATGTATTCTAATTTTAAATATATTTGTATAGTGATAAACTTCAACTTTATTGGAATGAAGCACATTGCCAAAGAGTGAGATCTAGCTGGATAGTACTGTAAAAAAGAAGTGCCCTCGTGCATAATTATTTTGAATAATAATTCTGTGGAGAAAAAGAACTGAATTTTAGTTCTCTGATCACATCCACTTACACTACCACCACCACATAAAATATATTTAAAATTTAATTTTCCTAAGCCTTTTGCTTGAACATTTTTGCAATGGCCTTCATTTCATGTTAAAAAATATCTTCAAAAAAGCTTAAGAAGACCCTTACTGCCCCACTTCTGACTGTGTACCCTACTTTAACCAGATTTTTAATTTGATTGAATAAACACTTTTTGAAGAAGATTATTAAGACTCCTTTTTTTTGTAATAAGATAATTTCATTTGTAATGGATTTGAGTGACAAAATATTGTATATTTGAAAAATTTGTGAAATTCAATTATACTACAGTGGTCAATTTGAAATATGAATCAGAATTTCACCATGTGGCCTAAGAAATTAATGACCATCTGGGGCTGTGTGATGAATACATAATTCAGTAAAGTTAATGAGGATAAGTTAATAATGATAGTTGTTTTGAAAAATAAAGGTAATTTTTTACATTTTTAAAAGAAACAGATTTCAGGTCTTTCCTCCCAAACCGCTTGTAAAGCTGTTATTTTGTATATGCATGTAAGCAAAGAATTCTGATCTATCAAAGAGGCTGTAGAGTATATTGCTCCATTAACAATGTGTTGTAGCTTGCAGCATGGATAACAATAAATAAGCATGTTTTTGTTTCACATGGCTGAGTGATATATCACAATAAGGCCCATGGTGATCAATGTTTAAAATGTTGAATTTTTAATGATATTTTGAAGTAGTAACACAATAAAGTGTTAATTCTTCGAATTATGTTTAACTTTACATACTTTAATAACAAGGTGTTATCTTGTACAAATGTTTAAAATGATTTCTTATAAAGGAAGTGTTAAAATTGAAAATGGGCGTCTCAAAGACAACGGTGAACAAAGAGATACAGTAAGAACATTTAGGCACCTACGAAAATTAACTTTCTAAGTACTATATACTTTCCTCTGAGAAATCATTCAATGTAACGTAATCTACCTGGAGTGCCATTTCTAAGTTACTGAAGGTCACCAATTTATTACCAAAATTATATTCTTATGTCATATGACACTAATTTTTAACGAATGTGTATATTATAGAATATTAAGCAGCCTTTGACCATGAGAGGTGTGTCAATAGTTTAGTTAGATGCTCTGATAAACAGGGGAAAAAATAACAAACAATAATGAAACTTAGAAATTTTGACCAAAAATACCAGTTAATACTAGTTTGTTAATATACAATTTTTCTTACCTGATGTGACCATTCTCATGTACAGTGTGTCACCGCTTACAACACACCTAGTGTCGTGCAATGAGGAAGAAAGAAGCTTCAGTATTCATATGTGCTGTTTCAGAACACCCCATTTTTACTGCTCCAGCTCCCCATTTTCCACACTCCTGGTAGAACCGGTTTTGCAACTGGAGACCACTAGTCACAATACTGTTAGTTGTATAATGATGCATTGGATTCAGTCTAGAAATATACCATTTGCTTAATTGTGGCGGTAAGGGAGGAACTGCCTATGAGGCCTTGAATAGTCTTCGATGTCTCACTGTTTCTCCATCACAAATCCTAATTTCTAAACCAAGTATTTTCTAATTTCTAAGTCAAGTATTAGCAACCAACCCTGTAGTTCTGGTATCTTGTTAATAAATGTTTACAATAACAGTTCAGTAACAGTTTGTTACTGAACTGTTATTGACTGTATGTAGGGTGTTTGAAGTGTAGTGGATTTTTTTGGATTGTTGTCTTTAAGCATCTGTCGATCCTAAAATTGTCATTGGACCTACATTTTAAATGTTAATGGTTTAAATTCCAATCTGTGTGTATTTGAAACCAAAATAGTTTTTAAAAATTTTTTCACTAGATAACCACTCTTGGTTATTAAATTTAATTGAACACCTTTTTCATATGTTAATACAATGATCACAGTTCATAATGAAGTATGTAACATAATTTGTTGTTAAATCCAAAGGAATGAAGAGATCATTTCCTTTCAAATAGAGGAAATTTCTTGCCTGAAATATGCGGATATTTTTCTCCCAATATTTTTAACCATTTATAAACTGCAAAATTTCATAATCATACAATAATCATTCAAAACTGCATTGGGCACCACACAACAGAGCATTAGAGATAAGTATGACTGCTGGAAGTTTTCGTTGTGATTTTTCATACATTTTCTTACAACATTAAACAGTGTGTGGGTGGTGAGTATTTTAAATTTGTTTTCTTATAACTAGTGAAGTCCATACCCTGTGTATTCAAAAGAAATCATATTGTTATGTTTTAGAAAAGAAGTGTTAATTTACCTTGTGTGTATAGTTGAATTTTAATGGAATGTTTTGTATTCACCAAATAGTTACATCAATAAACAGTGATAATGCATTTGGATGCAAATCTGTCTGCACTGTGATGCACTCTGTCAATCACGTTTTCTTATTGCAGCAGAAAAAATTGTTGCAGAAGTAGGCTAAACATCATTTGAGTAGTAGTGAGATCTTGATTGCAGCATGATGTCACAAGACAACCATGGCTCGAGAACAGAACATTGTAGAGTTGCTACAAATTCTGTTAATAATGTTATGCTTTGAGTTAATAGAAACTTAGACCCTTTTAAGATTTGTGTTTTTCCTCTGCAGTCGTCTGTTTAAATTAAGTGATCATTATTTTAAAAGATAAAAGGACATTGTTCTGATCCTATTTTCCTTCTGTACTTTTTGTGTTCTCTTTAACAACTTTTAATTTTAAAATATTAATTAATTCAACTTCCTTTGTTAAAGTTTGCTCTGATCTAATTGTTGGAGCCAAGAAACAGAAGCTTCGTGTGAAGGGACCTGTGCGAATGCCAACTAAAGTGCTTCGTATAACAACAAGGAAGACACCTTGTGGTGAAGGATCAAAAACCTGGGACCGCTTTCAAATGAGAATACATAAACGTGTGATTGATTTATTCAGTCCGTCAGAAATAGTGAAGCAGATTGTATCCTTCAAAACACAAATAACATAAGATATTATACATGTGCGTGTGTGTGTCTGTGTTTGTGCATGATTTACTACCTCCTGGAAATTTGGTACTATTGATGGGGATTTGGTTTTAAGTTTAATTGTATTAATCTTAGAGGGATTTTTAATTTTCTGGGTATTAATCATTTGATTCTTGGCACACGAATTCATAGAAAAATTTTAAATGCCTCAATTTTGTTTCCTGTCCCACAAACAAGATGAATTCATCTGATCCATTTTATATTTTTCTGTTGGTGAAAATTCTTATTATTTAGCAGCATATACTTGTAGAGACGTAATTGTGAGGGGTGCTTGTATGTTTTTGTGGTATGGACAAAAGCGTTACTTGACACTGTTGCGTCTTGTATGTCTCTAGAAGCCAGTAGAAAGAAATTAAACTATGGACATCTATTAGAGAGGAGGGTGTGAATCCCAGCTTGCATTGAAGTTTGAGAGTTGTTTAAATCGTAAGAACGTAATTTTGAAAATAGGTGAAATAGTTGAATTTCAATCAATCTTAAGTGTTTTGCATTCAAAAATGTTTGATCTTCGATGATAAACTTGCAATTTTTTGACGTTCTAACAATAATTTAACCCAATAATAGCAATTGATTGAAAAATCTAAGGCTTTCATTCTATGCAAACTGGTAGTGTTTAATGAAAACTGGAACTATACCATTTTTTAAAATACACTTTCTGCTATTTGAGGGTTACTGGGGCTACATGTAAAGTACCTATGGACATACCAATTTTTGAGAACAAATTTTCCTCTCACTTCCTGTACAATATTAACCAGGTTTAGAAGAACACTAATGTCCTGATGTGTGTGTGTGTGTGCGCGTGTGCGTCTTATTAGATCAAAAGTTTTTTTCTTTTGTTTAAGGCAATATATCACCTTGAACAATAAAATATTGTTGATTTTTTTAGTAAGAATTAACTGTTGTCAATTTGTTCCTTAACGTATATGCAGACTTCCATCAGTATAGAACCTGGTGTGGAAGTGGAAGTTACAATTGCTGACGAGTGAACGTGTTTTCAAGATAATGTGGGGGAAAAAAAGAAATAAAAATTTCTGATATTAGTTACTTTATTTAAATATTTTACCCCATTCCTGCTCCCAAACAAACCTTATCATGCACCAAGATAAGAAAACAACTGGCCCATGTTTTATCAATTTAAAAAAATGGAATGGATTTTGCTATCGCACTAAAAAGAAATGCTATGTTCAGAAATGAAATGCTCGGTTTTTGCACTTGTCGTAGCAGTGTAAATGTGGCTTCATTAAATTTTGATACTTAAACATACTGTAATGGATTGTGCCACCGTTATTTTATTATTGCGCAATACTTTTGTTTTACCCTATATTACTCTACAAACTTGCTTGAACCTTCTTATCGTTTTAGAATACTCTTGTCTACATTAATTATTCAAGCTATATTACAAATTATAAAGCTTATTCATACAATAAGTTTGCATTTACAGCACATTGGGATTACAGAGTGTATGGGCTAAATATGTTAGAATAGATATGTTTGGAATGTGTAAACAATGTAACTAGTTTCATATTTGTACTATAATCTCTTGCTGTGTAGATTGATAAACAAAAATAGTCCTCTTATCAGCTGCTGTGCTTATTTCAGTATTGGAGTATGATAATCTTGTTACTGCAAATTTTGATACTGCACATATCTCCTGTTGAAATGACAGTATGGATAATATAGATCTACTGAAGACTGCAAAAATAAGTGAATGCAATTGAGTGGAATACGCAGGGGACTGTAAAATCCTGTTTTGGCCGACCCACAAGCTCTACCTACAGAAGTACATTATAACATACCGACATTGGTGGCTTCTTAGCCAGGGCTTCAATCGATGTCACTATAGGGGCTGACCGGGAGTTCCTAGGCAGTAGCGAGAAGCGAGTGCGGCCCCGCCCCCAAAACTATTCCGGGCCCTCTATAAATTTGTACACCAACCGCAAGTAGGGTCAAAAAATAAAAATACCCTTTAACAAATTCATATTCATTAGTCTCTAATTTCTATGTAAGAAACTAATGTTGCTGACAGGTTATAGCAGCTCTTTTACTTGAGCAAGACCGTTACGCCACTGGCTCGAGTCTCGTCAAGGGTTTTCGACATCGACAGCTTCATACCCAAGTTGAGTTCAGCCGCCGTTCGAAGAAACTTTCTTGCGACGGCTGCTCTCATTGTGATTTCCTTTGGTTTCTCTGGTCAATACCACGCAAATTCTGAAACGTAAACAAACGAGCCACGGAACGCGATCATTTCTTTCTCGTCCTGGTCCGATCTTTACCCGTTCCTTGCACAGGAGAGGCCGGGAGCTCAGAGCTGCTCCAGGATGAAGCGGTGCCTCGCTAGTGGGAGTTGTTGGGGAACTATCACCCAAGCCGACAGGTAGGTCGAATCTCGCCATCAACGGGAAAATCACATGCACAACCCGTAATGATAAACCTGCACTACATTTACGAGACTAATGAACTTCGTTGACGCGTCAGGATTCATTAGCCAATCATAATGAATACGATTATAAAGGAAGAAACCAAAGCCAAGAAAGTTCGAATTTCGGAAGTTCAGATTGAGCGCAAGTGCAGTTTACAAATGTAACATCGTGGTGCTACAGAATGGCACAAACTTTCCTGTTTTAGTTTTTTATGTCCTTGGTCTCTGATAGCTATTCGGACTTGCCAGCCTATCAACGTACTTTTTTTTTTATACATTTTCTTCATTTTTCGGTTTCCTAATTGTGGAGCAGAAATATTTTAAGATTATTAAAGAAGAGTAAAACTTCATCCTAAATAGCAATTTTCTGACAAAAAATCGGAGCCGTTTTCTGTTTAAGAAAATGACATTTAAACGCTACTGTAAATTCAAAATATAAATCATCACAAAAGAATTTTGATTTTCGAAAAAAATTTGAAGTCATTTTCGTGCTTTTACTTACAAATGCAATAGTTAACGAATTGCTGGAAATGTACATATCATTGGCGCGAGAGCTTTCTAGCAATTTACAATGTGTAATTTTTGGAGAAAAAATACACAAATTAACTGTATGTCGTTTTTTGACTTCCCTCTCACGTCGTTATTTACATAAGCAGCAATTTGCTCACATATTTATGAGTATGTGCATTAAATAATGTCAGATAAAGTTTCTCGAGAATTCAAATGCTTTCTGAGAAAACTACCTCAAAATTACGCATTTTCAGAAACTGTCAAACGCCATTGTCTCAAAAAACTGCTCCAAATTTTTCTTCAAAATTTTGAAGGGATGGTGCTAATTGCACTCTTAAATATAACGTAAAGTTTATTTCGAGGTACTATTTTGTGTTGTTTTTTTCTTTCAGAAATTACTCTAATTTTTTGACAGATCTCTCAAGCCGTTAATATGCACATTCCCAGCGATTTGTAAACAATTGCATTTGTGACTGGAAGTAATATCATATGAAGTTTTTCGAAAACTCAACAGTTTTCTGTAAAAAGAGCAATGATTGGCAAGAGCTATGATTTCAGTTTCTGTAGTCGACGTTGCCACTGACTTCTGTAACTGACTGGTCTACGATACAGCTCCATCACTGATGGCTGCAATGATACCTGTCGTTGAACGCCTTGTCTTCTTTTCACCGGCGTATTCAGGACCACTGTAGACCTTCAAACCTAGTCCCTTCTTGAAGACGATTCTATTATTTACGGTGCTCTTCAAATATCGAAATATTCGTTTCACTTGATTCCTATCTTGTTTGTAGAATTTTCCACTTGCTTTATTAACTGCTAAAGCAACATCAGCACTTGTAGCTGTAGTTACATTCATTAAAGAACCCACTGCCTCATGATAAGGAAACTTAGCTGTGACCTTTTCTTCTACATATTTCCCTTCGCTTCCAATTATCGTAGTCATTCCGTTCGTCTCGGCCATTCCAATACTTTTCGTGTGTAGTCTTTGTGATAAATTGTTATTGATCCATCTTCAGTTTGATGTGGTAAGAAAGGCCACATTGCCAAAGTTTGCCTATACAAACCGAGACAACGGACAACTAATCAGGTAACTGAAGAGGCCGCAGAAGAATTACCAGCCGACTGCAGCAGACACGGTTATATCTCGGGAAGATTGAAATTATTGAAGAAGTTCAGTCCCCAGGACGGCAATTGATCGACATCAGTATAGAGGGAACCACCGTTAAGATGGAACTTGACACCGGCGCCCCCTGTTGTTTCATGAGCAAATCGAAGTTAAGTCTAATTAAACCAAACTTTATGCTGCAAAAAACGATCGCCTCTTCGCCATTTACACCGGCCACCGCATCAACTGCATCGGTATGACTTTAGTCACCGCCACCATCGGGACGCATATCCAGTAACCTTAACCTCTATGTCGTCACGCTGAATTTGAAAACTGTACTTGGTAGAGAATGGATTTCTGAGTTTGTGCGGGAGATCATTTTGTACGCATTTTTACCAAACCAGAAATCAATCCACGCCCTCTCAACCGAGCCATTCTTATCGCAGGAACCAGAAAAAGGAACTGCGACGCCACCATCGATCGTTTTCAAGATGTTTTTCAGCGATCTCCCCAGAACGTTATCAGGCCCACAAGCCAAGATGCACATGAAGCCGGGTGCCAGCCCATCTTTGCTCGAGCTCGAGACGTCCCCGTGACCCTGCGTGAACGCTTACGCCAAAGAAATCGACGCCAAGATCGCATCCGGGATTTACAGAGAGTAGAGTACTCAGAATGGGCATCTACAACGCATGTAGTCGCCAGAAGAACTCCAAAATTGAGAATCACGATAAACTACACACCAACTCTCAATCCACGAATTATCATCGACGAACATCCATCCCAAAGGTAGAAAACTTGTTTACGGGATGGAGGCGCCACCCTCTTTTGCAACCTAGATGTCACTGACGCATACACCCACCTGGAAGTTGACGACGACCGGCCACGCCCTCACTCTCAACACTCCAACTCATGGCCGATCCGCCAACCCGTACTGTCTAAGGTGTGCACGCTAATATTCCTGCTACCTGGCAGCGGCGTATGGACACCACCATAGAAGGTCTCGAAAATGTAATTTACTTCTGATGACACTATTGTTTTTTGGAGCCAATTTTGAAAAAACTCATTGCGACCCTCAATGCAACACTGGAGCCTTTTCGCCAACATGTTCTCAAACTGAACCGAGCCAAGTGCATATTGGCAGAAGGAAGGGAATGGAAAGTCCTGGAAGTCCTTCATGTCCTGGAAGCCCTTGGCACAAGATCGGATGCGACGTGCATCCATAAACCGATACGCACATCCGAGCCGTCCGAGATGCGCCGAAACCTAACAACTCCGGAGGACTGCAGCTGCTTCTGGGAAAGAAACGAATTATAGCGCATTCATTCCAGATTTATCAACACACTTAGAGACATGCTGCTGAATGACGCCCTCGTGTGGATTCCACGGGCTAAAGGGTTTATAAAGATCTGAAGGATGCAGCTGACCTCGCCCCAGGTACTCTTGCAGTATGACCCTGACGGGTCATACTGCACTACTATGCCACTCTTATTGGCAACCGACGCCAGAAAAACTGGACTGGGCGTAGCACTTGTCACACCGACTCAGCAAAACGGTCAGAACGCCCAATCGCTTGTGCCAGTCGAACAATGCAGCACTGAACAGAGATACCTCAAATTGACAAAGAAGCACTTGCAATTGTAATGTGGCAGAACAAAAGTTCTTCAAATATCTGTACGCCCGCCACTTCACACTGAATACCGACCAAAAGGTAGGTATCGCTTGACACAGATCCTTCATCCAGAAAAATACCAGTGCTGTGCATCAGTCGCATGGCCAATTATGCGGACTATCAAATGCCAATCGAACCTGATTCTAATTTTTCCACTCTCCATTACTTTCTGGCAAAAGACCAGGCTATTCTTAAAGATCTTTTGGACGTTCGACCAATTCACCGTGCCTGCAACCTCTCTTCTCTGTCAGGAGACTGCAGCCCTTCAATGTAGAAATTTGGATTTTATTTTCAGTGCACTGGGGAAAATGCACTTGTAATCATTCAAGAAACGGATGAATCAACCGATGGTAATTGGTAAACAAATCCACGACGATGTAAACGGATCCACGTCGACTGTATCTCTCGGAAAGGCGCTCTACTATGTTTGTTTTAAATGTAATATTAGCAAGTATCGTCAAGCTTTCTTTTTGAAGCAGCAAAGTGAAGTTTGTCCCGTTTTGGAGCAGTCTGTGAATGAAGGCAAGACGAATGAACAAGTTATCAAGCAACCGAGGTGTGATGGAGGAAAATAATTTGACCACGAAAAGGTTTTTCAACTGCTAGCATGCAGGGGCATATAACACAGCATTACTGCGCCGTATGCACCACAACAAAATCAAATCATTGTCGATTGCGTGTGCTCCATGTTGAATCCAAACACGTTGCTAAAAGAACTGGGCATGTAAACTTTTGTTTTGCACGTTGAACATTTTCTTTGATTATGACTTTTATGACAAGGCGTCTTGTTACGACCACCGCGTGCAACAAACGCAGTCGATTCGACATTCCCTTGATTGCGCAGTTTGATTTTCCGACGAAATCGTGTTCCACTAGTCTTTAAAATTGTTATCTACTTTTGCCAGCGTTGATTAGATACGGCCGTTCAAACTTCTCTCGGACAAAGTATTTGCTTCATTTTTCGCAAGTTCATCATT